TTCATCAGCTCTTTCCTTGTTCTTTGCATGGGGGGGACCCCCACGCCTTATTTGAAGGCCATCCGTGCTTGCTGTAACAAGGAGCACCATGCCATCACCATGTTTGCAGTGAGGAATGCTTATACAAATCATGTTGTCTGCGCCTGGGAGAGGTTGCCCCCGGCTCCCATCCCCTTTTTTTTAGAAGCCTTCCACGCTTGGCATATCAAAGAAGCGCCGTGTCATTATCATGAGGGATGGCTACACAGATCATTTTGTTTGCAAATGGGGGTGGGGCTGCGCCCCCTTTTCAAAGCGGGTCCATGCTCGACCACGGTTAATCATTCTAGGCCATTTCATTGTCTTCCATGATTTGCATCATTGTTCTTCATTTTGACATGTTTCAAAATTCTTCATCAGAAACATCATGGTGCATCATTTCCTACAATTTTTCAGCAGTTTCCATGATTTGCCAAATGTTTCATCTTGGTTCACAATTTTTTTATGTTTCATCATTTTTTGTCATTTCTCATGATTTGTCAGCATCTTTCATGATGGCTCATGATATTTCACACTTTTCATGACTTTCCATGATTTAACACACTTTCATGATTTTCATGATTTTTACATTTTCATGATTTATCCTTGATTTTCCCATTTTTTCACGATTCTCATCGTTTTCCTGCGTTTTTGAGAGTAAAATCGAGCTCTCACTTGTTACATTCTTGAAAAACAAAAGGAACACAAAAAGACGTCAAACAAAAACAAACAACACCAAATTAATTTTGCGTCCCCTTAGTATTTCAGGGGTTACTGGGAACCGAGCAGCACAGAAAAGGTACACATTGCACCCTGGGGCGTCTACGCCCCGGCTGCAGTCCTTGGTCAGCTGCGGGGTGGTGAGGCAACCGCAGATGCAGAGGCCATTTATCAAAAGAGTCACTGAGAGTCCAGCTTTTAGGTGATATGAGGGTTTAGGGTTTAGGGTCTAAACGTTACTACAGGGGTTATATAGGGGATTATAAAGGGGACTTTGGGGTCAGGGTTCAGGGTTTCGTTTTTTTTTTTTAAACGCCTAGGACTCAGACTGTAGGATCTAGGGTTTAGGGTCAGGCGGACTGAAGATGTAAGTTAAAAATGGCGACGACTAAGATTGCATTGTATATGCCTGATATGCATTATAAAGTACACTTGCTACATCCGCCCATCTATAATCCGGCAATATCATGCGTGTTGTAGGTAACACTATTGTGTACTAATACGCCTACCGATTCTTTTTGAGAGGCGATGGTTGGGGGTTATACGTTTATGGGGAGAGGACGATCGGCCCAGCTGTTTTTGTTTCAGGGTTTGGGATTTCCCGCTTAGGAGTTTGGGGGTCTGCGTGGGTGGTTGCAAAGCCATGGACCAGGTGCCCAAGACCATCCTTGACAATACCCCAGGCATTTAGACGCTTAACCCAGGTTTTTGTCTGGCATGAGGAACCATAGCGGGCTTCCTAACCAGCGTGAACAGTTGGGCACCTTGTTCTGGGCAGGAACTGCCTTGAAATGCTGAGAGCGCCATTCCCCAGTAAACTTTAAAAAGCTTCATATTTGCATGTGATTGTTTGCCCATTTATTTACACACATTACATGCTGGATTAAGGTCTATGCGTGGCTGCGTTTCAAGGTAAGGGGGCATTTTCCAAAACCCCTACTAACAGGAATAATAGTCATACTGATAGCAGCAAGACTAACAGTAAGAATAGTAATAGTAACAATCTTTTTGTAGATTTCCATGCAGGGAGGGCTCGCATGTTCGAGGAGAAATTGTCATTACTCTGCTGAGGTGGCATTTATGAAGCACTAAACCCAATCTTGTCACACTTGCTTAGCCGAGTACCAGAAAGGCAAGCTCTGTGCAGGTACGGCCGACACTGGAGATTCGCAACAGAAGGATGCCAGCCTTTTAGAGATCTAGTATCAAATACTCCCAATGTATTCTAATGTGTCACATAATGGGAGTATTCAATATTAGGGGGAGGGGATTAGATTTCTAGAGGCCCCCAAATATGATAGATCCGCCAGTCCCTGGCAAGGAATTACGAGGGAACCCGGATGGTTGTGAAGGGTCTGGGAATCAAGCTGCTGAACACGGTCGTGTGGTTGAGGGGCTCAAGGGGTTTAAGTTTAAGCTTCAGGGTTTGGCCTCCACAGCAATTTAGGGTTTAGGGTTCTCTAGCGAGGTCGGATGATGTAAGCCCTCGATAAGGGTGAATCCGTGCACGCTACTGCTAAATACCCCCCCCCTAACATCAAATACGACCCCGCCCCCCCCAATTTAGTTTCCTTACAAGGGGGATATCCAATATCAGTATGAGGTGGTTACTAAGAGGAGTGGCTTTCCACAGCTCAAGGATGGCTTATGCATATCAAGTTGTGCAACTGGACTGCTTGCTTCAAGTGGGTTTTGGGGGCCTCACCTTAGACATGGCTTTTAGCAACCACAACCTTCTGGCCTATGAAAACCTTAAACTGCTCATGGAAACATCCATATGGGTGGTTGTCAAAATTATGGTCCCTTTTTGGGTACCCTAGTACTATAATAGGGACCCAAAAAGGGACCATAATTTTGACAACCACCCATATTGCTTGAGGAACGTGACGGAGCACCTGCAGGCGTCCGGGCGGTGCCAAAGCCAAGAAACAGTAGAACGATTCCGGGCCGAAGAGGGTTTGAAGGTTCAGGTTTTACGGGTTGAGGGTTGAAGGTTTATGGGTTTTGGGCGGATAGGAACCAGGGGAGGGGTGCTAAAAGGATAGCCGGTCCCGCTGCAATTTTGAGACAGCTGGCAAGCAGCCCATTGGAGCCTGTTGGCCAGCGTGCTTCATTGGTTTAGGGTTTAGGGTTTGGGGTTTAGGGTTTAGGGTTTGGGGTTTAGGGTTTAGGGTTATACTGCCTCACAAGCCCACTATGACGCTGTTCCTGCTGTTTTACTGGTTGATCGTTTATGTCGGAGTCAATGCCGCATAAGGGGTTGCGCACACATGTAGGAAAGTTTTTGCAGTTCTTAGCAACTATCAGCAGGCAGCTGCTGCAAGTAGCACGCTTCACGGAACAGAAGGCTTGCCTAGTCTACTGAGCACGAAAAAGCTCTTGAATATGTGAGTGCCTCTGATACGCAAGCTATGATGGTAAATGCATGTGTTACCCCAAGCTCCCCTTCAGGCTCCAATATTTTATGAGTAGTACCTTCATTGATGGCGGCTCACCCCTGCAAAGATTACCCGGTTTGGGTTATTCTGAATTCTCAGATGGCAAGTGCACACCTTGCAGGTGACTTGCACAGTCAGGTTCTCGACTGGCGCAGTCGTGTCCGGCCAGGCAGCAGCACCCTTGAGATGTTCTGCTCGTTTGCGGGGTGTCCTTGTGCAAAAACAAGAACGGACCTGGATTTGGCTTTTGCAAATGATCAGATTCACCCTGCCCTGGCAGGTATATTCTGTGGCAGTTCCCAGAAACACCAGCACCGAGATTCCTCTCGCTGCTTTGCGGATGCCAGGACAACAATCTTATTGCTCCGCAGACAGTAAGCCTAGTTTGTCTGTTTGCACTCTTTGACAACAACCTTTTCGACCATATATGGAACAAGCCAGCACCAAAGTTTGTGAAGTCTAAATGAAAGTCTTCCAGAAGACTTGATTTTTTCCAGGGAGGGCTGTTCTGAACATCCCTAAACCCCTAAACCCTGAACACAACTCGCAGCAAAAGTTACTGAATGGTCGTGGGCGGTACTCAAGCATGTGGTGAATCGAGGCTTCATTCGTGAATAGGGTTTAGGTTTTAGGGCTTCCTTGGACGATGGTTTTGGAAAACATGCCGAAGGGAGTCTGAATGAGCAGCATACACTGCAAGGGTTTCAGGAGCAAAGCTCTGGTCTACGACCAACCCTGCGATGTACAAGCTTGAAGCCGCTCGCTAGGTGTTCAGACGTTCTTCACGCTATCAACAATACTCTGACAGCCTATGATGGGAGTATGTTCGGCTGGGCATCAGAGAGCGTAATCTGAAACACTGGAAGATAATACTGGCAAATACTGGCAGGTTAGAGTAGATAATCGTAGAGACTGTTCGTAGTTCAGAAGGCTCTGATGTCCAGATTTTGAAGTATCGCATGGCAGCTTTTTGATTTTTGTCTTCCGCTCGCGCTCTGTGGCGTAGCGTATGTGCAAACATGTAGCATGGAGAAGGGCACCTGGTTGCGATCGTTTTTTTTTCCACAGCTCTATCATGAAGAGCCTTCATCTTCAAAACCTCACCCCCTGGACACGAGATAAAGCATCTAGCCCTTGCCCAGAGAGGTCATTTCCTGGCCTTGGCCCCAGCCGCCCGACCCTCTCAACAACAATTGAGCTACAGTCTAAACTCCTTAAAAGGTTTAAATAGCAGAGTGTGACAGGGGTTATGAAGGTGGATACTAGGAGTTTAGACTCTAATCCCTATAACCCACTATATAATACCAGCTTCCATTTCATTTTCCATTTTCTTGTCCATTTGATTCTCCATTATTAAGGGGGATACTAGGAGTTTAGACAATAGCTCAATTGGATTTCATCCTGGAAGCTATGTCTCTTGGAGGTTTGCTGTCAACCATCTTCACCTTCATCTGTCTCAGTTGTAGTACGAAAAGGCTTTTTTCAGAGCTCGACTATCTTTTGCACTTGCAGCATCCCAGAATCCCTTGTAAATTTCAAATCCTGTCTCTTGTTCCTGGCTAGTTTGACTATGAACTTTCGTCATCAACTTCCTGGTGGGTAGCCAGAGATCAAGGGCTAGGGCATGGGCATGGTTATTGTGCATGATATGGGGACAACTGGAAGCAGGAATCCATTCGCCTATTCCTTGCAAACCACCCAAAAGACAGATCCTAAACCCCTAAACCCTGCACCCAGCCTAAGACCCCAAACCCTAAAACCCTAAACCCTAAACCCCCAAACCCCTTAGATCCCAAACCCCAAACCTTGAACCATGTGGCCCAGGTGGTTCTGTCGTCCGGCACTGCTTACCTCGATAACGTCTCCGTGCCTTGTGGCGTGCGAGCCTAGGCGGCAGCTTTTTGTTGGTACTCTAGCTACCCATACTTTTGGGGGAGCCAAGGAGCTAGGGATAGTCTATATCAATATAATAAGGGGAGCTAAAGAGCCCAGGAATCTCCAAAACCATAGGGGTGCTAGGGATCACACAGATCAAATAATCCAAAATTGGTGTTTTTCACTGGTTTCAAGGGAGAACGTAAGTACAGTATGTTTCTGGACTTAGATCCCAAGAGCTATATGGAAGTCGCTAAAAGTAGTGAGTATTCTTCAGCAGCCGAGGCAAGAGAATATGTGGAGTGGTTTCAGTGGAGGGTAGTCCTAGAAATCATGCCAAGTGCCAATCGCTAATCAGAGTTTCTCTGGCGAGCGTACAGGCCCAAATACACAAAAAAGAACCTATACTCTCCCCATTATCCCCACAAGGGGTACCCAATTCTGAGACTCCCAGATTCACATTCGTCCCCAGGGACCATATCCTGGAAGCCGGACATTGGCTTCGTGCTGAACGGCCTGCCAACCAAGATCCTGGGTACAGCGAACCATCAGGACTGTTGACCAGTTGAATGGTTCATTTTTTTGTACATCAGTTTTTGCGGATGCAACAGGCACATATAAAGCACATTGACTTGAATCATCAGCCAGCCAGTTTAGGAAGTCTTGTCGAGGTGGATTGGCAAGTTGGGGGGTACGGTAGCTTCTGAGACTTGGGGGGTCAACCTCGGAGCATTGTGCTGTAGATTTAAGTTGCGAGGCCTTCCAGGACAATGGGCTCAGTAAGTACTGTAGGTTCTACTTCTTCAGGGTCAGGGGGACTTAGTAAGTAGGTTAATAACCCCTATAACCCATGTAGTAACCCGAATTATCCCCATTATTAACCTACTTACTAAGTCCCCCATAAGACCCTCCAAGTAGAATGTTGCACTCGCTTTAGACTCTAGGGCCACCACCTAACAATAGGGGGTCCGAAAATTCGAAATTAGGTGTACTCAAGAAGGTCTCTCAAGACCTAGTACTAGTACTAGTACTTATACGAGTACTGGTGGCAGTGGTAAAAGCAGTAGTATTTGTAACAAACTTAGCAAGGGTTCTGAGTTGGGGTGGGTCTGGACATTGATTTCTAAAGGATTTTTGAGGTTGACTGAGGGTCTGGGATTAAATTAAGCGGATTTCTGAGGGCTCTGGGGATTTTCGAATTAAGGACGATTGAGGACATGTTCAAAATAAGAGGGTAGACCTTCACATCTTTAGGGCCCCCCAAATCACAACAGATTATTCAAGTTGTTCCCAACAATGGCCTAAAATTGAATAAGTGGCGGTCAAAAAACAATATTCAAGATCTTCGCTAAAACCAGCACAACATTAATGAGCATAGCTTGGATTATTATATGGCATCTACTTGTTATAATCTATGGATATACTTAGGGGTTTAGGGTCTAGGGTTTAGGGTTTAGGGATATACTTATGAAGTTTCCCTGACCTTTCAAGCATCCGCCCTTCTTGTGAGGACTTTGCAGCTGTCGGCGTGGCTGTTCCCGATCACTTGCAGGCTGGCCGGTAAGATGTTTGGATTGGAGGTTCATGTTGTTTCCGCTTGCAATAGAAGCTCTTCGCGGCGCCCTCAATGCCGGGGCTCGACATGTATTTCTGGCGCTAGCGAGAAAATATTCTGAAACTGATGGACCGCTCATTGACCGGCATGGCCACATTTAAAATGGTCTCAGCCATTGTAGGGCTTTTTGCAGCTTACAATCTGCGGGGCTCCCGCTTAGGATCCCATTGTGCAGAGGCGATGCCAATAAATTCTCCAATACTGCCTGCCGTGTGTAAGTTGAGGAGTTTCTTGTCATGATAGGGCTACGCGTTGAGAGCGGGTCATTCGCTGCTGATTCGATAAAAACCTCCAATTTAATGAAGTTGCCGCACATCAGAAGCAGGATCCTGAAATGCATATGAGCCATAGTCTAAACTCCTACTATCCCCCTTAATAAATCCTAAAGCTGTCCCCTATATAGTCCCCTATATAACCCCCTTTAAGGAGTTTAGAATATAGTTCATGTGTGGGCTTCTCAAACTCATGGGTTGGTGTCCCTACAACGAACAACCTGTATTAGCTCGAGTACATGAAGGGGATCACCATTTGAGCTATAGTCTAAACTCCTTAAAGGGGGTTATATAGGGATTATATAGGGGAATACTATAAAGGTTGTTAAGGAGGATACTAGGAGTTTAGACTATAGCTCATTTAAGGAAATGTCCACATTGTGAACTACCAGCGTCGCCACGTTTCGAGTCCCCCTGCAGGAAGCTGCATGGCTAACTTGCGCCCCTAAACTCATGGTCTGTAACGTTTTTTCTTGGGAATGTTGAGAAAGAGGTATTTCTTGTTGAGCCTACTGTAGAAGCTCTAACGTAGGTTCTTTGGAGAGCAGCAAGACGGCTATGTAACTAAGGGCCAGGCCCATGCAAACCCAAACTTGGCTCTGAGGTTTCCCTGAGCCCTAACCCTAAACCCTAATGTAGGCCCCTAATTAATAAACTCCTCCCGTTAATGGGGAGTAGAATGGGTATCCCAATATTAAGGCCCTTTGAAGGAGTGAGTGTATTAATCACGGGTGTACATGAAACCCCTCCTCAGGAGTCTTTGTGAATGGGGTTAGGAGCTTCCAGCCATGAAACAGTCAGAATATGTTGGAATCTAGGTTGAGGTCCACTTACGGAAACCCCTCAAGAACCTACCGGAAACCTCATATACACCCCCAAACATCCCCTTGAAGATGTTCGTCCAAGCTCTTAGAACACGCCTTCGCCTGGCTTCATTGTACAAGACCCATGCACAGGTGCATCGATTGAGAAAGCTCAAGGAATTTGGCAGCAATGGCTTTCGCACAGCCCACAACCCGCACAACGAGGCGTCCGTGGCCTAGGGATGGTAGAGTTTGGGCATAACCCTAAGGGTCCATGTACCCAATATTTAGGTACTTGGGATTTGGGTAATAGTAATTATAGTATAGGTTTTGGGAAAGTATATGATTATTAGGTACTTGGACCCTTAGGGTAAGGGTTCAGGGTCTATAGTTTATTATAGTATAGTGGGGTAATGTTGAGATAATGGAAAAGAAAATGGAAGCTACTATGGGATAAGGGCTCAGGGTCTAGGATGGGTATATATTCGCGTTCCCCTGTCGCAGTTTGTTGAAGCGATTGAATGTGGTCCCTCAATCTTCAAAACGGAGGACCTGAATGCAGAGTGGATGGTGAATCGCCAAAGTGATAAGATCACCGTTCCAATGTGGGTCCAACAAGTTCTTGATGCTCGAGAGTGGATACACGTTGTATCAATTGCATTTCCCAAGTCCCACTTGAATCTTGGGTTGAACAAATTAGGGCCTCCGTTTAAACATGACATTTGCCCAGGGCATATCTAGTGAGTCCAACGCCACTCACGTGATAGAGCCTGGTTGGACAGTTGAATTTACGTGTTTTTCTTGTGGAAAAGCAATTCCATCCTCCAAAGCGCCAGCAACACTTCTGCTCCCGTGTTACAGGCCTCATTGCTTCAATGAGCCTTTGCGAAAAGAATGGCACAATAAGTTTTATGATATTGATCAAAAGTTATGTGTTGTCTTGGCGGCCCTGGGGCATGCACCGCCCGATAATGTGCCAATCTGGATGCTCTAGTGCCGATGGCACATATTGCTGCACAGTTATTTGCCTGCTAGTCGTTATTGTATATTATTATGTATTCCAAGTGCCAACATGAGTTTGGCTGCATCACCCTGGAACGACACTGACTCTCGTTAGTCCGCGATGGTATATATGGGGTTTGGGGCTTAGGGCTGAAGTTATCATAATGGGTATATATTGGGTTTAGGGTGGGCTCAGGGTTTGGGGGATTTGGGGATGAGGGCTCTCAATTGACGATTGGGGGCTCAAGTTAGAGGAGCTCAGCAACAAATGCCTTGGAATTGTGTTGACCCTGGTAATCAGCTAGAGACAAATGATGGAACCCCACAGTTATAGTTTAGGGATGTTTAGGGTTCAGCGAACTAATCATTTTGTAGCAAGCAATGCACCTTTACTGTTCTACCCTTCCCCCACCCTCCACGAAGGCTTTACTCCAAGACCATCCGAGGCTTTTATGTGCATGACGCAAATCTTAACCTTCCTAAAGCTCAAGAATCTGAACCTTTGTTGTTGAATCCATACAACCATACACACAGAAAGGGCGTTTGCCTGTACAGTACCTCTTGCCAGCATCTCGGACGCAGCGCAAGATTCTTATGAAATTTCACCCCTATGCTTTAAATTCCCCTTAAAACCTCAAACCGATGCATCCCTCCGCCTCCGAATCGGTTCCCTTGCTTTGTTTCGTGCGCAGGCTCTCTTGCATGCAGCAGATCAGGAGGCCAAGTATAACAGAGTCATTATATGGGCCTGAACACTTACCAATATAGGAGGTCTACTATTACTACACCTATAGCGTAGTTATTATAGGGTGTAGGGCTTAGGGTTTAGGGTTTGAGGTTTTAGCCTGGATTCTTAGCAATATTAGGTTCTCCATTCCTTTATAGCGAGCGCAACGGAACTCTAATGCTGGTGCATCGATGCTCGAATTTTAGGCAGCATCCATCTGAAAGTTGCTGCTGCTTTGATCATGTATCCTGATGTGTTTTTGCATGGTGTAGCATTCTATAAGGTTGGAGGCTATGAAATTAAGGGGGTAGGCCTGTGCGTCGTGGCAGTTCTACGGAGCACCAACTGGCGTGCTTTTTTATTTTCACCGCTTTTTGGAGCCTATTTTCTGGGAACAACGGAGTGTTCCTCGGCCTTTAGGACCTCACTACAGTACATCGTATACCCCATGAGGAGTAACAGCATGCAATTGTACCCATATTGGTCTCCGGTCTGCTTCATCCTCAAGAAGCGTCAGAGGGCACATCAGCAGCAACAGCAGTCTCGCCATATTGCTTCAGACCTTGAGCTTCAGGCCCCGTCCACACTCCAGCCCAGGGAAGCTTTCAATACCTGCAACCGGAAAGTAGAGCATGCATTGCTGTGCTAGCTTGTGACTTGTTGACCCTGAGCTCAGAGGAACAGGCTAGGAAGACGACCTAAACCCTGAAATTGAGTAGAATAAGCGCCTTTTTGACTTTTTGAGGGCCTTGGAGCCCATGTTTTAATAACTTCTTGAACCAACAAAGCATAAGAAAAGACTGCCCCTCAGGACCTCAGGACTCTAAGCCCACAATTTGCCATAGCATATTGCCAAGGCCCAAGACCCTAAATGTCTTTCATTCTGGCCCCATACACACCCGAACTAGAGCCCTACAGATGCAAAAGCAGGGCGTGCTGGTTTGGGCCGAGAATCACCGCAACGGCCAGGACGATGAGATGGAGGCTAGATGCAAAAACACGAAGTTATAACCAGGTGACCTGCTACATCTACAGACAACGTTAGTGTCTCACAACATGCCATAGGTTTAGGCCCAAATTTAGGCGCTTAGGGCTATAGTCCCCGTGAAGTAGATAGAATATGGCTTTGGGTATATGATAATAAGAGTTCCAGATACCCCATATTCTATCTACTCAAGGGGGACTATAGCCCTAAACCCTGAACATAAGATGCCTACCTGGCATGCGGTGCTGTCTTGGGAATCCAGTCCTAAGGGTCCGAGTACCCAATAATTTGGTACTTGGGGCTTTGGTAATAGTATTTATAGTACAGGTTTTGGGTAAGTATATGGGTTGTTCTCAAAATTATGGGCCCCCTTTGGTCATAGACTATATTGCGGCACCTAATATTTAGGGGTACGAAAATGGCCCTAATTTTGGGAACCACCCATATGACCATTAAGTGCTTGGACTCTTGGGGGAGCGTCCCTTCTGCGGATTTAAGTTCCATCTCGTGGTGATGGGCAGTGGTGGTGGAGGTTTAGGGGTACAGCACTAGCAATACTTTAGTTCAAGATTCCTTTCAGTGTACCTCGTGTAGAGCAAAAGGATGAGAAGGATGAGGAGTTGTCGGGCTTTTTTGAGCCTGGTGAATTCTACCTGGACTTTCATAATGGGAAGGATACTGGCTTAAAAACGTCGAAAAATTGAATCGTTTCAGATGTTTTGGTTCCAGGTGCATTGTGTGGTAGGCTTAGGCAGCGCACCAGGGAGTTCTGGAACTTGTCACGCTTCACAGTTTGTAGTGCTGCAAGTAGGCTTACCTGGCATGGGGTTTTACTTAGTAGAGTCTTTGGCCGGCTGTCTCCGCTGCGCGCAGAACGGATTCTGACACTAGATTTTTTCTCAGTGCTCCTCACATTTTGCGCATCAGCAGGCAGGAAGCCAATATTTCTGCTTCGCCCTGGCCTACCTGGAGGGGTACGGGGACTTAGTAAGCATACTTATAACCGCTTAGAGCCATAGAATAACCCCAGTTCTTCCCAGTATTAGCCTGCTTACTAAGTCTCCCTGACCACGCCAAGTAGAAACCCTAAACCCTAGACCCTCAACCCTAAACCCTAAACCCAAAACAGCTAGAAGGGCTTCTGACGTTGGAGATGGGCAAGAAGGCTCCGTAGGGCAGACGCATTGGAAAAGAAAGCCTCGAGCTGTCTCAGGGGCTTGGGATCCTTGAGTAGATAGGGTTTAGGGTTTAAGGTTTAGGGTTTAGGGTTATGGTCCCCCTTACGTAGATAGAATATGGGGTGTATTATTGGGGTTATATAGGGATAATGGAAAAGAAAACGCAAACTACTACATATTATGATGGGGTATATATATATATATTGGGTTATAGTCCCCCTTAAGTAGGTAGAACATGGGGGTTATGGAGATCTTGTTATAATCTACCCAAAGCCAAATTCTATTTATTTAAGGGGAACTATGTCCCTAAGGGTCCGTTTTACCAGGTATCCAGGCTTCAGGTACCAAAAGCCATCCTTCATTTACCTGCACACTTAAATTATGGTCCGTACATAAGCCTTATGCAAGCGGACACGCTTGGTACCTCCCCGCCTAAAGATTTCCTCAAGTGCAGTCCCCTCAAAAAGAGCCGCCTCATGTCCAGAAAGGCCATTGGTTGGACTGTTGTTAGGCTCGCAGGATTGATTTGGGGTTTCATCGGGTTGTATGCATGCGATGGTGGCACGGCTTCAACACTCCCCTTGATTGCTCAGCCTTATCTAGGCCTTTCGACCCATGTGTTCAGACAAGTTTGGGATTCAAGCCTTGCAGTCAAGCCAATTTAGTGGTGCAGGTCATGATCAAGCGAGATCGCAACCATCCCAGCATTGTGATCTGGTCGATTTGCAACGAGAGCCATGGCTTGAAGACTTTGTAGCCGCGCCCGAGGATTGATCCACCAAGTAAAGATGCATCCAGCATTCAAATAATGCAGGGTTAACATAGGGGATATATAGGATAATGGAAAAGAACAAGGACACTACTATAAAAGGGTACTGTATACGGATTATATGGGGCCAATAGAAAAGAAAATTGAAACAACTATTATTATTATTATTGCCGTTACACTTGTTAGTCTTATTATCAGTATAAGACTTGTGTAGTCTCATTTAGGTGGACCCCCCACCCAGTAATAGTGACTGTAAGGGATAATAGGGACTATATTAGGGTCCTCTTATATTCTTAATATACCACTATTACAGGGTGGGGGGTCCTCCTAAAGTCTCATCAGCTTTCAACGCAATCAACCAACCTGGCAAGCTACAGAAATCCTTGCACAGGTCTTATGATAGTAGTAATTCCCATGTTCTTTTCCATTATCCCTATGTAATCTCTATGTTATACCCTATTAGAGTAGTTAGTAGTTTCAATTTTCTGGCCTGCGCAGTCCGAAGTCAGGTGAATTACACAGGGTTTAGGGTTTAGGGTTTAGGGCTCGAAATCACGAAAGCTAAGCTCTTCGCCAAGAAAGGAACCTGTGCCACTCTGACAACATTGTCGAGGACGCCAAGCGGTTGAAGGCGGGAAAAGTGCTGGTGTCCATCAGGACTGGTAGGAGTTTGAAAAAAGACAGGCCACGCAGAGACGCCAACGCGTTGTAATTGTAATTCTCATTCTAAGACTGTAAGACTCCCACAAAATAGGCCTTGAAGGTTTCAGCATTGGTGTGTGCTGCTTCGGGATCGTCAAGGGTCAGGGACCACCCTGCAACCAGAACCTTACAATTTCCCTAGATACCCTGAGCTGTTGAGGGTTTAGGAGGTAGGGAAAGTTTGGTTTGAGGGTTTAGGGTCATGACGGGCAGTAGTGGATGCTGCAGGAGCTGCAGGAGTGCCTGTAGTGTAAAGGTTGCATGAGACGCTGGATCAACACCTTGCGCTGCAATTGGGGGGTGTCATTCAATCTGGGGTCCCTACATGAGTGGAGAAGGGTTATATTAGGGCCCCCTATTCAGGTCGTTTCATGTCTCACCCTAGATTCTCCAATGGTGCTTTAAACTCGCTAGCACCTCCACCGGCCTGAATTGAAGGAGTTCTACGAATGGTGGAAAAAATCTTGCATGACCCTTTATATATTACACTGACATGCATCCCAGGGTGTGGGTATGCAGTAAGTCCCGCAGCCACAAGCACATATATTTTTAGGGCTCCTAACAGCCCCCGAAGCCCAAGATCAGGCGTTGGCCCACAGACTGGATCCTGCCATGGGCCGTCCTGTGTCGGCCCCGCGGCTATGGGTACAAAGTTTGGTTCATTGGACAACAACGCTTTCCCGAGTAAATTATGAATGTGGTGCTGTATAAGGAGCGATTTCGGGAACGTAAAGGATCACATTGGTTTGAGGGTCCAGGGTTTCGGCAGAAAAGGGCGGCGGCTGATAGGGCTACAGCTCTTGCTCAGGAGATATCATCTTGGGAGCAGTGTTCAAGCCTACAGTTGCTGTTCTTAGAGCGTGCTTCAGGCTTCATACGGTCTTGACCCCCTGTGTCTCCTGCATCGTCTCTTCTATCCAGGCTAACTACAACGACTTCAATGGCAACCAGACTCCGATGGACGTGTTGCTTGTCTCGGCTCGTGGGATTAGCGCGGGAAGATTTCTGCGGATGTGTCAGTCCACCGAAGAGTTGGAAGAAAACAAATCAACGCCTTGCAAGCGAATGGTCATGTGCCACAGCCACGGGGTCAGGTAACTAGTTGGGCTTGAGCAGGAGACATCTTGCAAGTGTACACAGGCGTGTTTAGGTGTCTTTTTGTCTCCGCAAGGCAGAATTTTACATGGAGTCATTTTCGATAAGGAGATTAAGAAAAGCAGGGTTGCTTTGCTTTGTGTGTTTTCCCCGCCCTCGCAGTGGGGTTGTTAGATTTCAAAGTAGATGTTGTCCTCGCCCGACTGGAAGCTGACTTTAGGGACCAACCACCAAGTATCCCTGCAGTGCCCAACCACCAAGAATATCCCTGCAGGGCCCAACCACCACGTATCCCTGCAGTGCCGAACCGCAGGGTATCCCTGCAGTGCCGAACCGCAGCGTATCCCTGCGGTGCCCAACCACCAAATATCCCTGCAGTGCCCAACCACCACGTATCCCTGCAGTGCCCAACCGCAGAGTATCCCTGCAGTGCCCAACCGCAGAGTATCCTTACACTGCCCAACCGCAAAGTATCCCTGCAGTGCTCAACCAGTAAGTATCCTTGCAG